AAAACATAATCCAAATATTACTTAAATTAATGCCAAGATGTGATACCTTGAGTGAAGCTCAAGAGAGAACCCTCGACTGCAATCTCAATTGATTGTGAAGATTAAGGACCCATGGCTCTCGGCTCTTCCGCTGAATCGCTGGCCCACCGGAGTCTCAACCATGTATGATTTGGAGCATACTACCACTCTGTGAATTAATTTATTACTAATGAGGGTAGATGGAACGAGGATCGAGTGAGGAGCATCTTTAAACAGGGCCTAGCACATCAAATCCTTTCTCTTCCCCTCTTTGAAATATGTACTAAATCAAACATTATAAATTTTAAAACTTTCAAGAAAACCCTAAATTCCACATGCAAAATTAAATTACAGAAAGTAAGAAATTAGAAAAAAACTCAATAACTTACTTTATGGGTAAGAGGATGGTGCATCTGCATGAGGAGAAGGAAAGGAGAGCCAAGGTCTTGAGGAGGCGGAGGACGAAGGCGTTGTCGGAGGTCTTGGGATCAGGCGGTCAGTGAATGAGAAAGAGGAGTCGAGAAGGCGGAGCCATGGAGACTAAAGGAGTCGGAGGAAGAAGAGGAGGGGAGATAGGTCCACCGGAGCTCTTAAGGCCCTCCGGCGGCGGCGACAAGTCAGAGAAGCTGGAGATAAGAGCTAGGGCTGAAAGTCGATGTTTTTTCTTTATGGGAAAAATTATTGTGTGGATTTTTTTTACTGGGACCGGGTAAGAAAAGAAAGTGGGGGCGGATTCTATGCATCCCATATCAAACTGGTGCCACGTGACACTAGTTTGATATAGGTGGGTCTGCCCTTGTTCTAGCTCATCTTCCTTGTCTTTGGACTCTCGGAAATAATGAGCCGTGAAAAGGAAAAAATATAAAAATACTAAAAATCAAAATTAGATAATTAAAAATAATATAGTTAGATACATGTGGAACTTCTATGGTGTAGTAAACCATGGGGCATTCCTTCTCGTACATTTGTGGAAGCAATTTTCTATTTTCCTTTCTAATACCTCAATAGTGTAAATGATCACCTAAATATCAGTACAAGGATAACTCCTATGAAAATAAATAACAAAAAGTTCAATCTAGGTGTATTAACATGTGAGGTATTGGAGATTCTAGCATTTATGGTCGAAGGGGACCCTTCAAGGGACTCCTAGTGGGGATAGGTGAAGGTAACAAGTTAAGAAACATGTTCTGTACTCTGAACACACACAAAATAGCCTACATAAATGAAATATACGTTAGCTCTCACGTAGAAACATGTTGATTGTATAATTATTTGTCTATATACCCCACAAATCCACTATATTTTCAGAAAATTTGCATATTCACTAATTTACCATCCAAGCTTTTGAGTGTGCAATCTTTATATCACTCTTATCTAACACCGTTAAACTTCAAACAATGGGGATAAAATGTCAAAATACCCTCTCCTCTTATGACAAACAAGGGAGAGGGGGTGGAGGTCTCTTGCCGACACCCCTCCACTATCAATCTGTCACATACTCAGCTCTATCTTCTCTAACCTCTCTCACTCTCCCTTGGGTCAAATTCTTACCCATGACGCATCATTTCAATCTCGACCTTGACCCACCCAAACTCTAACTTGACCCCTCTCATTCCTTGTCGCTGACGACAACACAGCACTCCATGAGCTACCAAGCCCCTCTTTGGTTCTTTGTTTCTCTTTATTTCTCTCTCCACACCCTAACAACTAATTATGAATTAATGAAAGTAATTAGGGCAATCTAGTACTAGGTTAAAACTATTAATTTTCTTAACAAAAATCTAGGTGTGTATATTAATAATCTCCTTTAACAAGATGACAATAAGAGGGGGCGGGTATTTTAATCTACCATGGAAGATGTGGGGTGTAAATGAGCAAGTATGGAGATTTGGGGTTACAATTGAGGGATATATAGGCAAAAATTCCTTAATTTTAACTATGCATAGCCGAATGATGGATATATAAAAGAGTAGTGGTGCATTCAGGATTGCTAGAAACTGATGTCACTACGTAATTAGTGATTCGAAAAAAGGCTAAATGACACTTCAATACCACAGTTCCCCGTTTTGACACTTCTATACCATGAGTTACTTTTTATGGAAAATAAATACAATAATTTGTTTAAAATTTGCACATTAGTACCCTCGATCATGCAAATATGAAAATTTTCACCCGCATATTTCTCTATGATACTTACATGCTAATTTTAAAGCTTTTTAATTGTTAATATTTGTTAACTTTGATATAAATTTATCAAAATTCTATTTAAACTTATCTTAATTCTACTTTAAAGTCGAGTTGAGATATGTTTAATGATAAATTTAACAAATATTAATAATTAGAAAGTTATAAAATTGACATATTAGTCTCCTTGTAAGAGCATTCGGTTGAAAAGTTTCACGTTTGCATGCTTGAGGTTACTAACGTCCAATTTGAAACAACTCATGCTATTTATTTGCCACAAAAAACAACTCATGTTAAGTGCCAAAATGGATAAACTGTGGTATTTTAATATCATTTAGCCTTAAAAAATCTACAACTATGATGATTTCATATTTTGGGGTAAAAAAATACACTATCACATTATTAGTAAAGCTATCAAACACACTGTTGTCTCCAGACCCAAGCGCATAATCACATTAGTAACATAAAATACATGGTTACGAACATATTCATAACTGGGCCCAAGTGCAACTTTAAATTATCGTTGCGCGATTCTCCAGAGCCCCTTCGAACTGTTGTACAGTTCCTACGAACCGATTCCCGATATATTTGCGAACAGATTCCCTCCAATACACAAACCGGTTCCCCAAAATTATTGTACCACTTACAAGTATGTTAGATGCAAAGTCTCTTTAAGTGCACGTGCGCAAGACGCAATGCAATGTGTGCAATTAAGTGAAGAGAGATGCATAATAGAGTGTATGAGCTAATGACTTTATTGTAACTGAACACGTATGTTAATTAAATGTAAAACGAAACCATTATCTTAAACTGAGCTCTATGAAAAAATAGAACGAAACAAACTCCATCAAAAAGAAGTATTTAAGTATTTTGTATGAAAAATAATATTAAAATTTATAATTAGCTTTCTAGTTTTCTACTATATACTTTGAAAAACTTCAACCGTACCCTGAAAAAATTTATAACGTACCACTAACCAAACTTGCATACCGAAACAAGTTACCCCCTAACAAATCCAAATTTTCTAAGTGACGAATTCCATACCCGATTCATAATATGACCCGCTACGTACCTCGTACTGCGTAACTATGCTTCAAATACATAATCAAATTATGTCACACTATAAAATACACTAAATAGACTGAATCTTCTCTTCACAAAAGAAGATTAATAAATTTTAAGTAATAGAAATTTTATCAACATGTGAAAACATTTAATACAATAAAAAGCTGAATGGAAAAGATAAAAGCAATTGAATAATGGTCACTTCTATTATTTGCTATTTGTTCAAAGAGTCTTCAATCTTCATGAGAGACAAAATGAGAAGATAGGTGCTACAAAAACATATTCACCTAAACAACTTAGGGGTTGGGTCCTAGGGGAAATTGGTGTCACGTGACACCACTGCCCCTTAAGTTGATCTGTCCCTGTTTGTAGTTGAACCCAACTGACACAGTACAGTTGGATAGTGGGGTTAGGGTGTAGAAGTTATTAAGTTTTAGTGCAGAGCTTGCAGGTGGTGTTGTTACTTGGATATTGGGTTTGGATATAGGAGACATTGATACAGCTGGACGTTGATTCTAGCTGATATTAGAATCTTAATTGATTTCAAAGGACTGTGTGGGACATTGATACAGCTGGACGTTGATTCTAGCTGATATTAGAATCTTAATTGATTTCAAAGGACTGTGTGGAATCTTGCAGTGATTTTATGATATTTCTAGCTGATATTAGAATCTTAATTGATTTCAAAGGACTGTGTGGAATCTTGCAGTGATTTTATGATATTCCCAGTTCAGCACTGACCTATCGATAGCCTTTGACTGTGTGGAGACTGATTTTTATTTGTATTTAGCTGTTGGATTTGTGTGCTTATATATTTGGGCGAGGTGAAGCCCCTCCAATTGCCTATTTTTAATCATAGTGATAATGCCTTAAGTATGGCTTCTGAAATGAAAATTCTGAAATGAAAATCAAATTTACATTGTATAGAAAATGATTTCTAGTAAAAGAATATAAGCATTTGTCTTTGAAATGCATTATTAGTAAAAGGATCTACCATGTGCCTCGGTTGGGTAACAAAAAAGCTCAATAATCCACCTGCCTAGGCTCATTGACACCCTTAAACATAATATCGATTTAGCGTGGAAAATCTGTTAGATGTTAGGTGCAAATAAGTCTTTTCGGTGTTTCCAGTTAGTAACACTCCATGAAAAATTGTTTTGTGGGTGGTTAGCAAGCAAAAGCCAAGTACAAAACCCAACTTTGGTTGTGTGGAAGGTTTAGTGAACCCATTTTACGCTTTCAAAAAAATACTCCATTTTGTTTATAGAATATGGCAGTCATTTTTTGGTACTTTTTACTCAATTTCACTTTTCGAAATTGTTATGTCGGGAAAGAAACTTGAGCCCAGAGAGGAATACTTGTTTTCCATTTATGGCAAACCAACTGAAGTACAATTACACAATCTTCCAATGTAAGACTAAACAATCTTCTCTGTCGCTCTTAATATACCCACTATTCTACTAGAAAATAAAAGAAATAAAAGACATTGCTCTTCCTCCTTTTCAGGCATAGGCAAATTTAGTCATAATATTCAATCTACTAGCATAAGGGTACATCAGTATTAGCTATACACTTTGCTAGGTGAGCTTGAGTCTGACAAATGATAGTTTGCTGTAAGCATTTTTATTTCTTTGTTTATTTATTTTCACGCATTTCCACGCATTCATAATGGATAGCTGTAATATTATAATGTTTGCCCTGGGACGGAAGCCTAATGATTTTTCACATCACAGGTGTTTGCTCTTGATTTTTCATGTGAGCAATTATCAATTGCTTCAGCCCGTAGAGATTTACTCTGGAAGGGTTGCTACAAAAACATTGAGTGAGCATCAACTGTCAACTTGACAAAAGGGATCAAAGTGAACAGTTCATTATGAACATTTTCTCATGTACCTGTCTTCCACTTTACTAGTTATAGTATTTGGCTGACTCCTCAAAAACATATCATATCTTGTATATCCCATCACACTAACTAGTAATTGGCTGACTCCTCAAAAACATATCATATCTTGTATATCCCATCACACACATTACCAATAAAGAAAGGTCACATTCTTTAATGCTTTAATCCTTTCATCAGGCACATAAATTTCTTGAACGAACCATGTTCTAGACCTTCCAGTTGAAAATGTTAGTCTAACAAGTTTAACTTCTCAGGGTCCTTTAAAAGGAAATATCTTATAATTAGTTTCACCCTTGGGTGAGGAGCATAAAATTATGTGTATCAAGTTGCGCTGTTGCAGGTGGATTGAAGGTGATGCACTTAATATACCTTTTGTAGACAACTACTTTGATGCAATCACTATGGGCTACGGATTGCGTAATCTGTTAGACAAACAGAAAGCTCTACAAGAGATTTTCCGTGTCCTAAAACCAGGTTGCTGCATCTTTTGGGTTCTAAAACAATGTTTCTTCATTACGTGTTTTTGTTGTCTTTTGGAATTTTTGTGTATTCCATTCTAAATGATGTTTCAGGTTCAAGAGTTTCTGTCTTGGATTTTAATAAGAGCACGTCTTCGCTAGTCTCCCAAATTCAGGTACTTGCTTCTGGCATCTCATGACTTTGGCAAAGCAAATATTTTCAACAATAAATTGGACCTTCAACAATTGGATTAGTCCTCACAAAAGTATACTCACCTTGTCGAGGTGAGATTGTGGGATATTTTTTTCTATTTGCAGGAGTTGATGATAGACAATGTGGTTGTTCCAGTTGCTAGTACGTATGGCCTCTCAAAGGAGTATGAGTACCTGAAAGCATCTATAGCTGAATTTTTAACAGGTTACTTGTTCTTTCTCCGTACTGAGATTTTGTACTATTATTCCTTCTCCAACCCCAATGCATTTTCCTCTTACTGACTCTAATAACATCATTCCTTCCCTAACCCTATGGTGCATTTGTGACTTGTCACCTTCTTCTTCTTCTACTTTTTTTTTTAATTAAATATTTCTTCCACCACACCAGAACACTGAAGTTGAGGTGAGGGTTGGGGGTTATAATTTTATACTCTAGCAATGATCGCTTAGGTTGAGTGCCCTTTTCATGGGCTGATACATGGACTCATGCGGCGGCATTTTTTTTTTCTGATCCACTTTAAAGTTATGGTTTGTAGTAGTGATTCTGGGTTGCTTTGATACTACTATGTTAAAGGTCCTTTCCACTACACCATAACTCTCAAGGTGTGCTGAAGGTTATATTTTTTTTCTCTAACAGAGCTCAAGGGTTTTCCTCTTCTCTTTTTCTTTGTCGTCGTGCTTTTTTCCTTCCTTTTTTTCTTTCTTTTCGTGGTGGTGGTGTTTATCCTTTTTCCATTTTATTTTATTTATTTATTTTTATTTATTTATTTTTATTTTTATTTTTTTTTTGGGGGGGAGGGGGAGGGTATGAATGTGTGCGCGCGCGGGTGTGCGTGGGGTGTGTGGGGAGGAAGTGCTTTCTGTTGTGCGCTATCTGGGGTTCTGGGTGGGAACGGAGATAGTGCAGTATGCATAAGAGTACACTGCATCTCGAAGCATGAAATTATACTTTATCTTATAAGGAAAAGTTTTGTTAACTAAGCTGTGACCCCAAAAGTTAAAAAACTTTAATTAGAAGGGAAAGGTTATAGTGGACTGAAATAAAAAACAGTGAAATCTAAGAAGTCATAGTATGAGTGGAAAATTGTGATTGCGACAATACACTGCTGCTTTTAATCTTCTATCAACCATTGATCATCTTGCATTCTTTCTTTTTCGGTCCTTTTTCCCTTTAATTGATAGCTAAACATAATGTTACATTTTCCCAATTTTGAAGCGCTGTCTTGCTTTTAGTTTTTGGGTAATAAATCTACCTCCAAAAGCTGTTTTGATGGAATTCACAAAATAGCTTCTGACCTTATTTCTCTTGTTCCTTATTCTTTTGCATATGTCGGGGACAAACACATGGTTTTCCTTTGTGTATGTTTATATGAAACGCACAGCATAGATCTTACTTATCCTGCTACCTGTCTTTGTATACGCGCGTCAATGCCTGTTTATGAACACTTGTCCCCCCCCCCCCCCCCCCTTCCAATCTGGTGTTCAGGAAGAGAGTTAGAGAAGCTTGCTAGAGATGTTGGATTTTCCAATTGCAAACATTATGAGATTGCTGGAGGCCTCATGGGGAATTTAGTGGCCAGGTCGATATGCGAAACTAACGTCCCTGCTCATGTGGTGTTCGATCCTGGTAAACCCATCATGTAATGCTGATGTTGAATTTTGTAAAATGGAGTTTAATGCAATCGTAATTTTTTGCCCACACCTGGTTGGGGTAGCCAGCATCTTGGTTTTGCTATGATTATGCCCAACATTTGGAAGGTTTTTTCATAGCGTCGAATATAATTAGTTGTCACCAATTGGAGATGTATATTTTGGGTCCAATCGATGAAAAGTTTAGTCCTGCATCCGTTTGGTGCGATCAGTACAGTAATTCACAAAATTTCATGAAATCTTGAATGGTCGATGAGTAACTGTATATACAACTAATCCATATTTCCCTATGCCATGAAAACATGGAGATGC